TGAGCAGGAAGGGGTGCAGGGCCCCAGAACCCCCCTGCACCAATCTCCTCGACAGCTAGCAGGCGTCGTGGCCACAGCATGGGCCACCATCCCTGCAGCTGTCACCCCACTGCGCCTTAACACATGCAGTGTCACCCATGGCATGAGTTTTGCTTGTCCGCAGCTTGGGGTGCAGTTCCCCCAAACCCCTGCATCAATCTTCTTGAAACTTGGCAGGCTTTGTGGCCTTAGTAAGAGCTACCACCCCTGCAGTTTTGACCTCCCTTTGTTGTAACACACAGCCATGACATGAGTTTGGTTTTCAAGAATTTGGGGTACAGTTCCCCCGAGCCCCTGCACCGATCTTCTTGAAACTTGGCAGGTTTCATGCTCTCAGCAGAGGCTACAATCCCTGCAAGTTTCATCCAAATTGGACAAAAAACAACAAAGTTATAAATATTTCATTGATTTCCCCATTGTACCCTACGGCCAGATCTCCGAGGCGGCTCCGAAGCTTCAGAGCCGCTTCGGCCAGATCGGGCAGAAACCCAGTCCGGAGCTCCGGATCAGATCACAGCCATCCGAACGGGCGAGATCTGAAGCTGGATCGGATCACTTCCAACTTGCACAGGCCTACCTGCAACTGCAGCACTCAGGCTGGGAGATAAGGATCTCCCAGTGCCAGCCTCACAATCGTGTAGATGCCAGTCAGGCATCTACATGTGCGCTACTATGTGGTAACTACTCACAAGTAAATTTGCTACTTGCAAGTAGCAAATTTACTCACAATTAGAGTCAATTACTGTGCAATAAGCATCTGCATGTGCAGATGCAGTAATTAGCTCTGCCGCGCAGTAAAACGTTTTGTGTAGATGCGTCCAATAAGCAGTAGAAAACCTTTATATCCTGTTGCACTCAGTAGAATGTTCTTCTTGAGATTAGTGAAAATGAGCCACAGAAATCAGAGGCAAATGATCGCCAAACAGTGATCTGGCTTTAGGGAGCCTACTGTGAGACTCGTATTAGCGGCATAGTCTGAGAGAAGAAATAATTAGTGTTACTTTTAATTTTCAAAGAAAAATCCCTATTCAAAAGGCAAGCACCACAGAAAAGGAACAGAGCATGGGACATCTAGAGGGGGAGATGGAAAAGCATCAGTGTGGATTTCAAGACAAATAAACCCTACTTCATTGTCAAACTGGAAAGGGCATTTCAGCTATACAAAAGATTGTATTTTGTTATGCCACACACACAGAGGCTTTAAAAAGTAACAATGGTTTAATTAATGAAAAAAAGGAATACACAATTCCTTAACATTGAAACAAAGGAAAGCAAATGTCTAGATAAGCCCTCTATCACAAGAATCCATGTTCCTAAGCTAAAAATATTTTATTTAAAAAACACCCCAAACAACAGCAACTGTCAATCAGCGATTGTGTTGCTAGCAGCGGTATGGTGGCTAGTGATAAGGCTTTCTTTTGTATTTGTACCTATCATCAGACTACACGCTTGCAAATGTGTAACTTGTCTAGCCCAGCTTACAAGTTGGATATATAAGTCATCAATAAACATTAATTAAAGTGGCTATTGAAAAGACTACAGTTATGCAGAGCTGGTTACACAGCCTGGAGCATAATACTGTCCGAGGCAATAAGAGTCTGTTAGAAGGAACTTCTGGATAACTTGCTTCTTGTGAACTACATTATCCCAAAAAGGAAAGCTATTAGGCAACAATGGAAAAGTCTGGAGTTTACCACATGCTAAAGTATAGCCAAAAAAAAGAAAAGAGAAGACCAAGGGGGATTAGATAACACAGTCTTCCTAAACATAAAAAGTGCTCTCAAAGACAATGAACAATTGTTTTCCATAGCCACTGGGGTAAGAGGAAGAAGAAATTAGCTTAATTTGCAACCAAAAAAGATTTAGGCTGGATATTGAGGAAAAAACCAATCTTTTGAGGTGGAGAAACACTGGAACAATCTACCTACGGAAAACCGTGAAATCTTCTTTATTGGCAAGTTTTAGAAAGGGTTAAGACAAAAATCTCCCCAAAATGGGCTAGGCATACTTGCCTTTGTGCTGGGGGTTGGACTAGAGCAGTGGTTTTCAACCTTTTTTCATTTGTGGATTCCTAAAAAAAAAGTCGAATGGAGGTGCAAATTCCCTTTGGAAATTTCAAATGGATGTGCAGGCCCCTTTGAATTGTAAGTGTGGGTATTCACAGGCCCCTTTGAATTGTAAGTGTGGGTATTCGCATACTTTTGATTGATTGTAGTTGTATTTTGCGGACCTCCTGGGGTCCGCGGACCACAGGTTGAAAATCACTGGACTAGATTTTTTGAGATCCCTTCCGGCCTGGTAGAAACGATTCTATAATTTGGATATAGATCAGAAGCAAATCTATTTTCGTGGCCATGGGGTGGGGTGCCACACGCTGTACATTGTGGGGAGATTACACAGTCACTCCAGTTATCTCAAGGTAAAAGAATATGGCAAACCCCCAAGAAACCAGTCAGAACAGCCCAGATTGTTGAGTCATTGTTAGTGAAGCAACATGAAGTAATTCCTTGTTTGAGGTATTTCCTTGGTTACAATTGGAGGTGAGAAGAAGCCTCAATTTAGGTAACTGGAATACACACAACAAAAAACCTTTGTAAATAGCATCACTTACTGCTAAATAGAGAACAGGTCTGTATATTTTTAAAGCATTTCCTTTGAGTTTATGAACTTCATTCAGCCTGCCTCCCCTCTATGCTTATCTTTAGCCACAGAACAAAGTAACTGTTGTGGCTCAAACAGCAAACTTTATTCAGGAAATGGCCTCTTGCTATTTCCCTCAACAGAAGCACTTTTAAAATGTGTAAAGACATGTTATATCAGACTAAGCCCTATATTTTTGAAGATTTTTAGAGTAAAATCACATTAGACAGAAGATGAGTAACCTAGTTCAATTTAATTTGCGTATATTTCCCTACTGAAAGAAATAAGGAAATGTGATATATTTAATCAGATGATTTGGATGCATTTCCTTTGAAGGGGGAGGATGGATGGAGCAGCAAAATAGGAAAGAGAGAGAACGAGCAAAGGAAAACATTATACCATCATATTTTTACCTTAATACTTGCAGCTCTTCTTCAGAGTTCTGCACTTCATCTCTGAGCCGTCGCCAGCGGAGCAAAGCTTTCAGTTCCTGCTGCTCTCTTGCTTCATGACATGGCAGCTGCTTAGTATACAAAAGCACAGTTCATTGTTGTTTGTTGTTCTCAATGGTAAATAATTTCCTGATGTAAAAACTTGTTTTGTTTCCCTTTAACATGCAAAAGGAACAGAGAATGGTACAAACATCCACACCCTGGTTGGAAATCCATAGCTACTGTACAAAGAGTTAATAGCAGTACAGAGGAAATGGGAGCCTCACTGGGTGCATCAAATCAATAGTCGGTTAAATATTTCTGCCTGAGGAAGGAGATAGGCATGTTGTTTTCCCCTCGGTGACTGGGAATAAAAGAAACGAACATACAATCCAGATACCTGGCATATCAATTCTGGCTGCATCTTTGCTCTTCCCAGCCTTGAAAGCAGAAAGCTGTTCTGTGTCCTGATTTCACCCCTCTTTCCTAGTATCTCTGCCACACTGGTGAAAGCTCTCTGTTGTATCTTCCCCTTTCCCCACCCCCTGCTACAACCAAAGGAATATTTGCAGTAATGTTTTCTAATAAAATATACACCAGTTTGTCAGCTTACAAGCTAAAAACTAACTGTTGCTTTCCCCTTATGGAAAAATGGTTTGATATTCTCTTGCACTACCGTAATATTTCAGCTGCAACTGAAGTTATTGTGATGTCAGAGAGTATATTTGCATTCTAATTAAAATACAGCTATAAAACTACCTAATGGTTACAAAAAAAGAAAAGAAAGAACAAATACTTTTTATAAATCAGTAGAGATATAAACCATCCAGTTGTGATTTTTGTTGCTTGCTCCTTTCCTGCTCTCCAAAATCCTATTTGATGCCCTGTAATTTTTCAATTGGCTCAAAACAGAGTAATGACAATGAACCAAAACAGCTTGCAACAGGGGACTGACATTCAAGTGGGAGTCTCAGAAGTATTTGAAGATAGGAAGGGAGATGTAATTGAATAAAGACAACCTTTTTCCTCCATAAATGTTGTGCTGATAAAGTTTTTAATTTTATTTAGTGTAGTGCCATAAATACGTCTAGTACTTTATTAAACAAACAAAAACAGTGTCATCCAAGAAGTATTTGCAAGGTAATGCCCCAGTCTTACAAACTGCTTAATACATATGGAGTTACATTGACTTCAGCAGTGATCTAAATGGCTCTACATGGTCTACACATGTAGATCAGATTAAAGGACTGGGCCTAGTTAAAACAAGAGGAAGGGGAGATGAAAAAGACTCAGGAAATGGCTGAAATAGAGAAATATGATGATGACAAGAATGATAAGATCAGCGGTATCCAACTTGTCTGGTCCTGCAGACTGGATGAGTGGCACAAGGTTGGTCCACAGGCCCAATCTAGTGTGTGGGGCTGGTCTGAGGGCCCAATCCAGAGCACAGGGCTGTGTCATCACACCAGCAGAACTCCCCATAGGTCAGGAAATTTAGCAAAGGGATAAGTGGCAGGCGTATGAATTGTTGCAGTTCCAGAAGCCACAGCAATTAACACTGCCACCGTGCTCTCAATTACAAATTTAGAGACCTATAGGGACCCCTGTGGGCCAGATAACATGGCTCCAGGGACCAGATCAGGCCCCTGGACCATATCTTTGTCACCCCTCCATAAGATCACTACAGTGACAAATACATCTTATGCATCTCTTAAAAAAACAACAGATTAATCTTGTTTAGCCTCTTTGAAGAAGTTTTGAGGAGGAATGTAAAATGAGGAAAGGGTGAAGATATGTTGAACAACATCAAAAGGAAGGGTAGTAACAACTCTGTTATCATCTCTTCACATGTCAAACCTATTTCATCTTCATCATTATCCTCCAGATGCCAGGAAAGTTACCACTTTCAGGATTACTAGCATTGTCTATTATTTCAGATTTGAGGAAAGAGTTGAAGTGAGTGAAAGGTTGGAGAGCAACTAACTAGGCAATTTTGAGTAGCAATTTTCTGGCTTGATAGTCATCGAAACAAAGATGTTTCAGCTATTATTTGAACTGATCTATACCTTTGAAAAGATTCGGGTTCATTGTCAATCGATGTGGGTATAAGTAACGATAAAACAAGTTTAGAAAAACATAATCGAATGGTATCATAGCAGAATTAGCCTGCTAACCTACTACTATTAAATACAGATTTACAATAATTTCATTCAAATTAATATTAAAAGGCATTCAGTTGGGAATCTTCTTGATTTCTACCATATAAAACAAAGAGGCAGCTTATTGTCTTCGTACCTGTTGTGCTGCTGCCCAAAATACATCCTCCAAGTGAGTAGCAAACCCTTCACTGATCCATTCTTCAGTCCAATCACGAGCACCAATGGCCAATCCGAACCAAGCATGAGCAATTTCATGGCACAGACGTGTTCCACAGAGATGGCTCCCTCCAGGTAATACGCTCTGTGACAGGAAGATTATGTGTGGGCTGCATAATATGAATGAAGGACAAATACATTATAGACCAGTTACAGCATGCATTGCATGGCTAGAGTAATATGTAGACTTTATTAGTCTTGTCAGCCTGTTATTACTGTATGCATGCTAGGTCATGACAGATAGTTTATAGCTCAGGCGCTTTTAGGAATTAGGTTGTACTTTATTGTTGGCTGGCAAAGATTCAAGCTAAAATTCTGCCAAGCAGTTGTTTCATATTCAACCATCAAACAGCTATTACCTGTAATAAGTAACTTAAACCACAGTTTTATATTTTTCAAATTACAAGGCTGATTTATTTCAGTGGAAGCATTTATATTAAAGCCAGGACAATAAAAGAAGAGCAGGCGTGAATATGGAAAGCAGATATTTATCAGTTAAATGATCAAAGCTGGAAATAAATACAGAAAAAAATGTTTTAAAAAGAAAACAAATCACTATCCAAAAGCAACAAAGAACATATGAGGTAATGTGCACACACACAAGTCATATTTGATTTATTACACTCAAGACAAGCTAACATAACACAGTATAAGGACCATATACTATTATCCCCTTAGGAGGTGGAGAGTTGGAGTTAACAGTCTTTTTCCTTCACCCATTTCCATAACGTAAATGTGGATGTATGGTGTGTTCTTTCCCACTCCAGAAAGTCACCTACATTATGTAAAAGAATTCTTGTAACTCTGGGGTGTGGCAATCAGATATGGCGAGAAGATGGGAAAACAGCTAGTATATGTGATCTGATCCATTCAGGAAAATACATAAACTGTATTGCATGTCTTCTGCCAGAGCTGGACACAGGCATGGGCAAACCAGGTGGCCGCCCAGGGCCCGGACAGAAAGGGGCCCCGAAAATGGTAATTTTTTTTCATTGTCTGATTATTATTATCATCTCTGGCGAAAGAGGACCCAATACTAAAAGTTTGCCCAGGGCCACCAGGAATCTAGCTATAGTGCTGTCTCCTGCTCTTATCTTCTGCTCTAAGCTAGTCTGTGCCACTCACATGGTAAGTAGAAATTTATCCACCCTATGGAGATACCTACTACTCTTGAAATAAGGTGCCACTCAGTCCAAGTGTGACAGGGTCCCCAGGGGCTACTACCCAAAGGGCTAAAGGAGCAGGAATGGCTGCTAGTGCCACAGATAGGAGGATTAGAAAGGGCAGACAGGCACAATCCTTTCAAGCAGATAGAACAACATCTGAAAAATATGCGATTGCTAATCCCAGGGTTTCTCTGTCTCTACATAATCCGTATCCCAACTGTTTTCCCAGGTCCAGACAGCATGCGGCGGCAATACAATAGTAAAGCTCCAAAACCACAAGACTTTAGAGGTAAGTTTAGTTTCTTTAACATGGGAGGGGAGCACATGGCCTTAAGACATTTCCAAGAGGCAAATATTATTCGTCAGGTTCCAAAGAGCTTCCCCACCCTGCCTTACCCTTCCGTTAGAAATGTTAAAACACCTACAGCTTTCTTGCAACTAGTCTACATGTCTGGATTTGTGAATCTAAGCTATTATGCTGTGTGCCTAAACCAAAGATGGCTCTTGTGTGTGTGTATTTTTATACAATAATGTCTAAAAAGCAGATTAATGCATTCAAATCAGCTAATATCACAACAGATATTGCAAGAAGCTAAACTAGCAAAGGAATTAAGTCACTGAGAACAAAGAGAAAGAATAAACAGGACCTCTCCAAATGCCTGCCAAAACCAGCTCAGATTATTAAGAACAAAAAAAAAGTCAGAGAGAAAGAAATAAAAAGTACAGAAGCTGCAGAACATGATGAGACACTCCCTTTTATTATAAAGCCCCTGCTGAGAAGAATAACTGTAACTTGGAGGTATTACTGTGGTCATTTTTAAGTAAATGACCCCTAACTGTGGCATGTGCAGCACTACAAAGAAAAACCATAGAAAAGCCAAGTAAATAACATTCCAGACATACTGCTGGCAGTGTTTCGGCCATTTAGTTAAACAAAGCAAAAGTAACTCCATGCCTTATAAACAGGCTCACAGGAGGGTTTGCGTTTCAAGTATCCCCTTTATGGATGTGAAAAGCAAAGGTAAAAATTCTGCTTTCCGGTTTCACAGTTTCTAGTCTAAGGTACTTAAATAACAGGAATGTCACATTTTGACAATATAGTCCTTTTATGAAAAAAATACAAAGATAGTTTTGGTGAGGAACTGCGCAGGTGTCATGTTTGAGCCTCAGTGCAAATACTGGGAAGTGATTCTTAACCATGGTGCCAAGGCACCCTGCAGTGTTGCAAGATCCTTGCATATATGCTGCTGGAGTAGTAGCTGTGCTGGTGGGGGCATCTCTTGTCCCCTCAGGTACAGTTTTGCTTACCAGGACTAGTTCTCAACCTCTATATTTCCAAAAGTTATGGAGGGGTAACTTGAGGCCAAAAAGGTTGAGAATCACTGCTGTAGAGCTTCCTATGAGTCTGGAAAATAAAGGCACATGAAAAGGCAGACTTTCATTTTAGGAGCAATTATGCTCATCCCATCCCTTCCCCATAAAATACTTCTTTTCAATTTGTTCTCTTTCATCATTCTGACTCTTCTTTCTGCTCAGAGTATCCCAGACAGAGGTCTGACCACAGAGCAATTCAAGGTAATTACCCCAGTGTGTCCCAGCCTCACCCATCCCAAGGTCTAAACTCGTTGCCTTCACAGCGTTTCCAATGCTCACTAGTTTGGGAAGAAGTCTGAGTCTTCAACTACAAACCTATATATTTGACTTCTAGAGATAGAATTTTCAACTTCTATTTGAAGACCCTAGGTTTAGTCCCCTCTCTCCTCAGAGGACATTATGTTCTAATGTACAATACAGAATGTCACCCATATTGGTGGCTACAATATTGTCCCTCAAGTCTTGATAAATGCAATAGTGTCTTCATATAAAAGCTAAGATAATAGGAATAATGATAAAATTGTAGCATCCAGTAAAATTTCCCAAAGGTATGGCTTTCAACAATTTATTGTTAGGGACCACTGTAATTCAGGCTTCAACAAGGAGAAAAGCAGGCTCCCTGCAGGCCCACCAGAGGCAATTTCAGGTATTTTTCTCTCTAGCCTCTGACTTAGGGAGCCTGCCATGTGGTTGAGTACCATTGAAGAGCAGTGCACAGGCTGTTCTACAACTGTTTAAAAAAAGTAAAGCTCACAATTTATTAAACAACAACTTTTAAGTAAAGCTCACCACTTAGAATTCTTAATGAAACCATCATAAATAAATTTTATTAAGCATCAACTTTTACTTAGGGTTGGAAGGAACCTCAGAAGGTCATCTAGTCCAACCCCCTGCTCAAAGCAGGACCAGCCTCAACTATATCATCCCAGACAAGGCTTTGCTTAGCTGGCTGGATGTGGGGTGAGTGGGGTGAGGCTGGGGGTGAGGGACAGTTCCCCCCTCCCAGGTGGCTGCCCCCAGAGCCAGGTGTGGGGCAGGGCCTTACCTTACTCCAGCGCAGGGTCTTTTAAGCCCTACTTTGTTCTGCTGCCACGTAGGAAAGGAGGGGAATTTTCTTCTCCCTTTCTCTGTGCTGCAGGGAAGAGCAGGGCTCAGGAGATCCATATTAGGTGTCTGCCCCCACGGCCAAGCATGGGGCAGAAGGTTCCCCCACTGCAGGAGCTACCCCACCCGGCATGCGTCTCCCAAGGCCCGCTCTGCTCTGCTGAGCAGAGAAGGGGAAAAGGATATTCCTCTCCATTCCTGCATGGCAGCAAAATGAAGTGGGGATTGGGAGAGCCATGCCTGCTAGGGGGAAGCCCCTGCAGCAGGGTACCCTGCGCCCCACAGCTGGCTGTGGAAGCAGACACCTGGTATGCCTATGTCCGCAGCCCCTTAGGGCAGTGGGGACCTTACCTGCTCCACTCTGGGCAGGGCTTTTAAACTCTCCACGAAAGTGGGGAATCGAACAACCTAATTGGCTGAGCTCGAGCAAAGGCTCAACCTGTACTAGGCTGCCCCCGGAAACATGTGGGGCTTCCACAGTGTTTCTGGGGTTCTGCTGCCTTTCTTCTCTGTGCTTCAGGTAAGTATTTAAAAACTTTTTTCCATGCCCTCCCTCTGCCCTGCGGTTTCAGGCCATTTCCAGCCAAATTACAGTTTTCTGTGGCTTTGGGGTAAATGCTAAATTCCAGGCTTTCCCCTGAAATCCCCTGAAATCATATGCCTGCATTTCTGGAATAAGAAGGGACTATCTACCGACCTCCATATCAGTTCAACCATCGCAGGTTAGGCTAACCTGCAAAAAGTGGATCAATTCAGGCTCAGACTTTGTGAATGTCTGTCCCTAGTCTTGAAGATCGGATACAATATTTTAGCCTGAATTAGTGTGATCTTTATATTTGACACAAAATCCCAAGGTTTGCAATAATATCTGTGCTGGTACACTTTGGTGCTTTTCATCTGAATTCTTCCAGCTTTTATTTTGACAACTGTATTGTGTCACCTTAAATATTTCCACAGTACAAAACTGAAAACAATGGACTATCTCCAGCTGTTTATTTTTTCCCATTTAGAAATCTGGTTTGCTGAATAAGAGAGAGACACATAATGTCTGACCTCTGGTCTTACTCACTGTGACAGATCTTCTCTATCAATGACATTGTCAAAATGAAAATATTGCTGCTGTGTTAGGTGTAGATTTTGCAATTTATTCTCAGGCACTGGACGGGTGTAAGGTTTGAAGTAATTTAAACACCTTTGAACCACTTCAAAGGCTGAGGAGACAGATGTATATGCCTTTTGTAGGACTCCAAAAAAACAGCAAAAGCACTCCAAAAAGAATCCTGTAGGAAACAACTGTTATTTTAGAAATGCTTCAAAACAAAACACTCTACATGCTCTACAGGGGGTGTGGTCCTCCAACATCCCAAAGTGCTCTGGTCCTTTCTCCTCCCCCAAGGGAAGGGGAGAGAACAAGTGTTCTTTGCCTCTGCTCTTCCTCAGCACCCCTCCCATCAGAGCCCCCATAC